ATTGTATTAGTCAAGTCGACTGATTCATTACTATCTAAACAAATACTCAAAAAATAAAAGAAGTTACAAGGAAATACTTTATTTATAAGGTTACAACTTACAAATAACTCGAAAATGAAAAATGATTCACTAATTTAAAAATCGAACTATTAGTGCATAATCACATAAATTATGAAAAACATCACGAGATCACAAAAATCTTTTCTTATTTTCGACGTGGTCCAAAGCACAATTTAATCTCAGATCTGTGTGTTGGAAAATTATTTAATTTGTCATGTGGATCGACACATGTAATTAATTGTGTATAAATGTTATCTTAAAGTTAAGTACAAAATTAAAGTGATCTAATAAAGAATTAAGTAATTGGGTTTTAGATATCTAAATAAAGTGTGGGCTATATTATATGTGAAGAGACCGAATCCATTAAAGTTTGTATTTGACGATGTACCAAATACATACGAAAATTATATATAGGGTTATGAACCCCAATTTATATGCAATTTTCTCATTCTTTGTACAATCACATCAATACAAAAGTACGAGAGAAAGCATATTGAAGAGGAAGATTCATAAACCAAACAATCAAGAAGAAAGTTTGGAACAATTAAATTGAAGAACAAGAAATCAAGATTTAAAGATGCAAATTCAAGATTCATTATTCAAGATACAAATCAATAGATTAAGGCATGTTCCGCATTAATTAATTTTCTTGGTGATTTGATGTGAAGATCTTGACAATTATGTAAANATTGTATTAGTCAAGTCGACTGATTAATTACTATCTAAACAAATACTCAAAAAATAAAAGAAGTTACAAGGAAATACTTTATTTATAAGGTTACAACTTACAAATAACTCGAAAATGAAAAATGATTCACTAATTTAAAAATCAAACTATTAGTGCATAATCACATAAATTATGAAAAACATCACCAGATCACAAAAATCTTTTCTTATTTTCGACATGGTCCAAAGCACAATTTAATCTGAGATCTGTGTGTTGGAAAATTATTTAATTTGTCATGTGGATCGACATATGTAATTAATTGTGTATAAATGTTATCTTAAAGTTAAGTACAAAATTAAAGTGATCTAATAAAGAATTAAGTAATTGGGTTTTAGATATCTAAATAAAGTGTGGGCTATACTATATGTGAAGAGACCGAATCCATTAAAGTTTGTATTTGACGATGTACCAAATACATGCGGAAATTATATATAGGGTTATGAACCCCAATTTATATGCAATTTTCTCATTCTTTGTACAATCACATCAATACAAAAGTACAAGAGAAAGCATATTGAAGAGGAAGATTCATAAACCCAACAATCAAGAAGAAAGTTTGGAACAATTAAATTGAAGAACAAGAAATCAAGATTTAAAGATGCAAATTCAAGATTCATTATTCAATATACAAATCAATAGATTAAGGCATGTTCCGCATTAATTAATTTTCTTGGTGATTTGATGTGAAGATCTTGGCAATTATGTAAAGTTTATAAA